GTGAACGAGAGTTATGAGGACAAATCAACAATGCGGCTAGTCTTACCGATCAGACTCAATCGTTTGTCTCTTCATTTCATTTTATTGTCACTGTTGACGATAATAGGATGAATCGAACAGACCACTCATCATACAATTTATGTTTATATTCTCTATTTGTTTATTTATTCATCAATTTGTTATGACAAATCTATAATGCAATACAAGCAATTCAAACAGTCCTCTATGTTTGAATAGCCAATTAGGCAATCATTTGAATGGTGTGTCTACTCGTTAGTACTGGCGGCTTGTAATATTATCAAAGGAGGCAGTAGTCACTGACGAACAGTGCCATGATAGCGTACTGATGTGTTCCTATCGCTTAATCACTGCGCAAGAACGCAACCTCACACATTAAACTCGTTCTGATTGATACATATATATCGTTTGTTTATTTGTTTCTTTGATGATGTTTCAACTTTTCAACTTTTAGTTGTTCACTTACCTATCAGTTCGATCAGTCTCAATCAAAACATACTGAATTCACCTGTATGTTCAGTTATAGTCCAAAACCATTCATTACCTTATCTGAATTATCCTGCTAGTTGTTGCTGAGCTTCTGCACTGTTGCTGATCTATGAGCTGATCTTCTGCACTTTGAAATTTTGTGGAAGCCGACAATTTTGACGTTTGCTTGCTATAACGAAACGAAATTTGTGACTGTGTGGGCAAAGTTGTATTGAAATACATCAATTACTTTATCCCCTCCCTCGTCTCTCATTGAAATATGACTGAAACAGATGGATGGTACTAGAGTAAAAGGTCTACTTTAAAAGTGAATAGGTAAGAGATATAGATATCGTCGTAGTGGTTTGATTGATATCACAGTTGTAGTTTCATTCATTCATATTTGAGAGTAAAGGCTGAATAATGATTGAAAAATGAATGTGAAGTGTGATTCAAGCATATCGGTCAAATGAATGAATGCATAATATAAATCATCGAAATACTTCATCATATGCCTCAGCCAAGAAAAGCGAGATTGCATCATCAAATCTGGTTGACAGCTCGGCGCGGCACAGAATAGCTGGAATATTTTAATACTGAGATGAAATGGGTAATATGATATAATACGTACTATCAAAACATACGTAATATATTGCTCTTAAATTGATGACTTCCACGCACGTTCCAGTATATGCACACATACGAGTACAGAAGAATAAATAAATTGTATTGAATGGGATTTTTAGTATAGCCGAGATTTCAGTTCGAAAACAAATAGTCAGTGAGTCTTCATTAGCGAATAAGAAGAAAGTTTTATGATGCAATATGAGTTATTAACGAAAATAAAGTTGAATATTGTGAATGAAGAAGAATGAGTGAATGTATTATATCAGTATCAATTGTATGAATCAATTCGTTTGTGTGTGAAATTATTTCTTTCTGAAGTTAGCGTGAGAAGAAGATAAGTTAGAATCAATCTATTAATTTAACTTAACTTAATTGCTGACTCTATTGGCCATCTATCTATTCATTTTTCTAAAATGTTCATCATTTATTACTGCTTCATTTGATTAGATTTTATTTGATTTAGCTTGATGCCATTTTACTGCATGGAAATAGAATGAATCATCACATTGAATGAAAAGAAAGTGTGAGGATTACCACTGAATATATGTTGCTGCTGCTGCAGCAGCAACTGTCACTTACCGTAATCAATCATTTATTTCCAGGTTTTACTAATAATAGTGTTTGGATATTTTTTGGAACATGCGACATTTATTGAGAGGGTCGTTGAAAAATCAGCTCTTCATTTGCACATTTGCAATTAGCATTAAACTGCAGAAGATTGGAATAGATGTTGGTTGGGTTACTTGCTTGCTATGCGATATCCTCTCAATAATACGTACAAAGAAGCAATAAAACAGCAGTTGTGCTTTAATATGGTGCAATAAAATTATCAATCTTAAATGAACGAGCCAATTCATTTATCATCGTCTTCAGTTTGATTTGAATGGCTATGTATCAATACATTATTTATTGCCTTATTGCTTTATACTCATAAATTTACTGCTGAAATATTAACCAGGCTATAATCAAATATAACTGCAAGTACCCACTCTCGTAGTTGTTCTGCATTGTTTTGATAGGTAACTTCATTCATTTCTCTTAATGAATGCTTCTGCTAAAAACAAATCTTAGCTAGCTGTGCCACTAGGCTATTATATTAAACATAATAGGGGCCTGGTCATTTTCGTAGAATTAAACCAAGCCGTTTGTTTATTGTTGTACGAAGTGAGAAGAGAAGAAGAATAATGTTGTGAGTTGAACTGAATAAACGGTGATCAAACAGATTGTTCAAGAGTAGGTTCGTCACACTAAAATACACCTGCTTGACTCGTTTTTGTCGTTTGCGGGAGCGAACGGTCACTCATATATCTGTTAGCCATATGTCATGACTAGTAACCAGTATATAGGTAATATTAATGGTAGCTTAGTATAAGCATATATCATCTATGCGTGTATGAGGGACTGGATCTATCTGTACAAACTATCTTATGGCGCTTATCCGTACTTGACTGCCTGAACGTATAAATGGTATTCAGTTAAAATAAATAAACTGATGAAGCAGAACAAGGTAAAGGACGAGTCAGTGGCTGTGTAAATTTGGTTTGGAATAATGCATGTGTAATGCATGCATTATATAGTGTAATCTATTATAATAGTTGTATTGATGAGCATGATAGTTTCAGTGAAATGTTTAAATGTCACACCGAATATAATTGAACGATGAATGAATATATAAATTGGTCGGTAGAAGCACTTATTATGCCGATGGTTATAGGCATATTTAATACGGTTTGATGCTAAAATTTTGTATACTAATTTATTGAACTGAAATGAAATGAAATCTACATCTGACCCATTCGCTGCATGTGATTTTGACATTCTTCTCAAAGTGCCCTTATATAAGAGTATCTTTTCTCACTGTTTGCCACATTCAGAGTTATCAACACAATTTGCCATTTTGCCAGCTTGCACAATATCAGCCGATCATTACTTGATAGTTATTGGCAAATAACGAAGAAATAGATCTAAATTGATAAATGTTCAACGTTTAAAGGAAATGTATGTATGTCCAATCAAGAAGTCAACAGCGGCTGATCGTTGTTGAGCCGTAATGACGGATAATCGTTGACAAATTAAGACAAACATGTGAGCATTTCGCAACTGAACAATGATCCGTAGGGAATAGAATTTGAAAAGAATGGAAGGAAGATGCGAGAGTCATGAAGATTTGAAGATAAGCGTGAACTTGACTATTGTTGTTGTTCGTGAAGCACTGTGATGATTATTGCCGATCGTAAAGTAGACGGATACTGAATATTATAGTCGGATGAGGAGAAGATAGTCAGTTAGCAACAATCGGACTATAACAATAATAATAACTCTTTATTGTTGCTGTTTGATGACACATGGCCTCATGGCCCTGGCCATAACTTTATCACTGTTCAACAATTGGCTTGTTTGCTTTTCATTCCTATTTTCAGTGTTATTGTTGTTGTGTACAAACGATTCACATATATTTATTTATACATATCATATACAGTTGATAGATTATTCGTTGATTTCGATTATATTATCTGTTCTCGGCATTCTCAATAAGATAAAACAATTGATTCATTCACATTCAGGGTGTGCATGTTATGTGGTATGTGCAAATGAGATATGGTATTATGTAAGGAAATAATACTTTGATGATGATTGTTGATAACGTGCACTATGAGAAGAAAACCTTCTGTATCCATCATCGAGAACACATCGAAAATGTGCTCTTCACAATTGGATTAGAATTTTTAACGATGTCATAATTGTTCTTCACTTTGCACTAATAAAGAATATTTGTGTTGCTTGTTCCTAGTTTACCTTAAAACGAATGAATATGGCAATCCTCTTTCAACTATAATATGCACTACAGTCACATGTTTTTGAGATATTCGTCGACTGTTGCATGCTGCTTTTGGATGTGGTGATTGAATTTCATATAATCGTATCATATTATTATTCTAGCTGTGATTGGTTCTTCAACAAATATTTTATGCCAATTATTCGTGGTTAGGGAATTTTAATTGCGAGTTTAGTATCACATTCTTAGCTGTTAGCTAATTTCGAATGGGTCTGTTATAATATGGAACGAAAACAGCTTCAGTAAAAGTACGATACCTTAAACTGTGTCATTAAGTTTCTTGATCCCAATTCTATCTGTATTAATTACAAAGGGCGAGCAACGCTTGCTATATAATCTACCGTCTCTATCCTTGCCAATTCATTGCTTTTCACTGATATGATATTATGTCGTTTCGTGATTCACCGAAACGATATCCACAGAAATGAACGATATCCTCAGGCTTTCGTAATTCACTTCAACTCTTCGGCTCTTAATCGAGTCAGTTAGTCTGCAGCAGCAGCATTCGTCACGCCACGCCCTATTCCCCTATCCTGTCCGATTTCATCCTGATACACGGATAGATAAATAGATCTCTGCAAATGCTCCATCCTCATACCATATATCTCATCTCAGTACGTCCACATTATACCATTGGTTCATGGCCGTCGACCACGTATTACTGATTTCTTTCTATTATAATGTTTCAGTATCCGATTTGAATTTGATCTGATCATATCGCATCTGTCTGGCTAGTGGTGATTTTGTTGCATGCTTTAACAGTTTCTATTCCACTTCGGTATTTGGTGGTCAGTTAAAGCTCAACTTGTAAACCCAAACGCTTCAGCCAAAAATCGGTGAAATAAGGTGAGAACAAATGATTGCTCATTTGAAAAAACACCATCAAACTTATGGTAATATGGCCATCATCGATTTGTCGTCTGTACTAAAACCTTCTTCTTCCGCTTTCCCATCTACAACTATAATTTCACCTCCTTCTCCGTTTGAATTCCCATTTGCATGTCCAGTGACATCATGTAAGTGCCCAACGATCATTTTAAATGACTATGAAATGTCGTTGTTATCTCTGTCGTTCACTTATTTTAAGCTATTCATTTCGACTTTGCTTGGTTATATTCTCTTGAGTATTCATCTACTCACCACTAGCATATTTCCAAAAAGTTTGTCCTTACTTCTTCATCTTCTCATAATTTCAACTATAACAACTTCAGCAACTCATACTCATCTAACGATCAACACCAATGCAAATGGAGGTGTTTCACTGATTCATTCCTCATGCCCATCTGGTTGTGAATGTGAGCATATACTCGAGCGAGATGATCAACGAAGATATCGTTCTTCATCTGTATTTTGTCATCAAGGCGATTTGAGTCAGGATCATTTCTTTAATATTATTCGTCAAATACCAGCAAATATCACAACACTAGATATAGAAGCACCACGAGAACGACCCAATCGTCTGCTATGGGATGATAATTTGAATCGTTTCAAGCAACTCAAAGTTTTACGTCTCGTCAATTCGGGTATTCCGGCGATATCGCGTGCGCTTAAATTGCATTCACTGGAAGTGCTCGATATACGTGGCAATAACATTGATCATGTCTCTATTTCAATGTTTTCTGGTGTACCGTCATTACGCGTGCTAAATTTAGCCGAAAATCTTTTGAGCGTTCTACCAACGGGTGTTTTCACTTATTTACGCAATATGGAAACACTGTCGTTAGCGTACAATAATATCACCGAATTATCAGCGAGTCTGTTGCGAGGCAATGAACGCCTAGAGTCACTGCATTTGGATGGGAATCGTATTAGTAGTGCACAACTGAATGATTTGTTCGCAGATGTGAAGCAGTTGAAACGACTTGAACTGAATTATTGTAAACTTGGATCGCTGAGTCGACTAAGGCTGGAACGAATTCCTCGTCTGAGTCGTTTGGGTCTAGCTGGTAATCGTTTGGGCTCAGTGCCGAGTGTAATATTTCGCAGTCTTGCTCACCTCAACACTCTTGACCTCGCCGATAATGGTATACTTGAGATTACGTCACAAGCATTCTCTGCTAGCAATATTAAGCATTTATTCTTAGCCAAAAATCGACTTGGTCATTCGCCTAACGCTTTCCACTCGAATTGTTTTGGTGGAATCAGTCTACACGAGTTGGATTTATCCTATAATAATCTGCAGCATTTTCAATCGACGATTCTTGGCCGCACCTCTCAAGCATCAATTGAGACTCTGCACCTAAGTGGTAATCGAATCCAACATTTTGACCCGAAATTAACGAGTAATTTAATCGCATTGAAGCATTTACATCTGGCCGAAAACGATATTCATCAAATTCCGGCTCAATTACCGTCCGAATACGCGCAATTATTGTTCTTGAATCTGTCATCAAATGCCTTACAAACGTTCCCGGATCATGCTCGTCAACTTTTTCCATCCCTTATTCGATTGGATATTTCGAACAATTTATTCTCATCTTTTTCAATTTCTATTCTTCACAATTTCATCAATCATTTGGATCAGGTAAACCATTAGCAAATACATACAATTATTATCCGTACAAATCGACAAATATGTTAGTGCACACGCATTTTAGCTAATTGAAGTTATTGTTGTGAGTCGGTGCTGTAATATATCAAATGCACACTGACATTGTACACATGTTCCTAAGTATATTACTAAGCAGCGTGTATGTTGTTGTTGATAGATTTGTTCCCTTATATGCTATCTTATTGACTGTATACCCAATGGACAGGTGTACAATTCATGCTTTCAAGAAGTCGTATGGGAGAGCAATATAATAATATTTATTCAACGATCCAACTCATTCATTCATCGCCGTTCGTATTAATGCACTCGTTCATTTCCTAATTCTTTGAACAGAGAAACGAACATATTTGTAATCTAATATCCTATTTGATCTTTCTTTCACAAGCAACCATATCCGTCCATGCTATCATCCATCCATCCGTGCAGAAATCCAATCGCTCTCATCTCTCATTCATCCATTCATCCCGCTATAACGCTGAATCTCTTTTGTTCATATCGTATTGCTCACAATCAGGTTTTACAGGTTTTGTTGTAAGTGTTACGGACATGAGTATTATTAATCAATGAATTTCTTGTTTTCTAATATTATTACTCATTATGAAAAGTACGAATTAGAATGCTTATAGGTTTATTTGTACAATAATCCATGGGACTGTGGCTGTCTAATCGACGAGCTGAAACGGCATATGAGCGAACGTTATGGGTATCGTTGGGAATTACGCTATGAACACGCCAGATGCGCCACTCCTGAGGATTTACATGGAGCGGTAATATTGCGTTTGAATCATATCTCCGATTGTGCGGTCTTGTTCGGTGCAAGATATGGCTTATCGCAGGCCAATGAACTCAGCATCCTATTCACGGCATTGGTCACGATTGCTCTCGTTTCATCCATGCTTATACTACTCGCTTATTACAGACGTGAAAGTCAACAAAAGAAGGTTGGTGCAATTTGCAGTAATAATAATAATAATAATAATAATAATAATAATAATAACAATAACAATGATAATAGCAACAATAATAATGATAACAACAATAATAATAATGATAATAGTAATAATAATAATAATGACAATAGTAATAACAATAACAATAATAATAATAACAGTAATAATAATGAATGATGAACAGATAAACAGTAGCGGCAGCAGCAGAAATTATATGGAGAATGTGCGTGAATCGCACTCCCGGACCGCGTTAACGTTATCTCAAGTGCACATGTGCACTGCAAGTGTATCGTCACCAAGTTCGATTTTAAGCGCTGATCATCAGTTTAACGAAAGTGTCTTATCATCCCAGCAGCTGGGCGCATCATCTGCAATCGGAACTGGAATCGGGTACGGCATCGGTGTAAGGATCGGTGGAATGACCACTGCTGTGCCCAGTAATCTCGACTCGCCAATATGTGCGCTCTCGTCGAGCACACCAAGGATGCCACCCCCGCCACCCCCACCGATTCTTGCTACTTTCTAATTGTATATTCATCTTATTTGTAATTATTGCCACCTATCTTATATTTGATGTTACACACTATTTGTGGGATCTTCGAATTGTATGAATTCACACTTTTGTTTTTTTGTCCAAAGTATTGAATGAAAAAATGAAGAGAAGAAATAATCAAAACTTAAACGTTTAATTTATAAATGTAATAATATTCTGCAAATGACAAACAATTTCTGATTTTATTTTCGATTGATTGTTTGATCGATTAAATGATCGTAACAAAAGTTTGTATATTATTTATTCCGTATTTGTTAACTGCAATAATAATAGTGTTGATAAATAAAGTTAATTCATGTTATATTGTTGAATAATTGTTGTTGTCGTTGGTATCATCATTGTCTTGCAATTATTGTTTTATTCAATTATTCAACCATATTTCATTGGTTGGAGCTTTAATGGCACATTTTTCCGTTGTTGTGGTCTTTTTTGTTGGCAAAATGTTGAAGTCAACTTTGCTGATCGTAAGAAGATTTATCTTTTATATGGTTACATTGATTACAACTATTCAGCCACGAGGGAGAGTTACGAGGAAGTTCGGAAAACTGTTGACAATACACGAGAGCATGCATGGTGAATTTTGTGGACATTTTCGTTAACATGATTTCGATGTGTCTGTTAAACTGATTCATTAACCACCGAATAACAAACGAAAGGACTTCATCTAAGAGCAAGATTGTCTTGTTTAATTCATTTTATAAACGTATAGATATATTCTATTGAAGAAAGAAAGGTCAGGCCGGAGATTGCTGATTATCGAAGATGGGCGGCATTAGTCAAGTGAATTGCTTGAAAATGTACAAGAGCAGAGTTGCAACAGCACAAGTATATATGTTGCATGTGAATTTCAGTTTGCCTCTTTTTTTCGGAATAAGACAGTCAAGTGCATTTGCCGTCTGGAAAGTGCGTCTGAGACTAGTAGCTAGGAATCGATTGACGCTTATTTGAAGGAATGAAAATTATGCCTTAAAAACAACGTTTCAGCGAGCTGTCTATGGATTCAGCGGCATTAAGGGAATGCATTTGTTTCATTCTCATCAGAATCCATCTCGTTCACATGATCAGAATCACAGTCAACCAATGAATACTTCTGTAACAGATTCTTCGACAACAGCAGTAACGACGGCATCAGAATCGCTGCCTTCACAGTTGTTATCATCTATTTCTTCAGCAACGACACCTGTTGAAGTGATGGCAAGCCCACCACCAACATCAGATGAACTTGATCCTGACGATGAAGAGCTCGGAGATGCACAAATGGTTCCAGATGGAGCAAAAGATGTCGAAAAAATTTCTAGTTTGTAAGTTGTTTAGAAATTTATTCAGTTAGCTGACCAAATTTTAAACCATTCTCTAGCTGTTCTTCTTCACAATTATTCTTGCTTTTTTTGTAAATTTAATTGAAGCAGTAATTGATTTCTCATAGTTGTGAAATAAGTTGATTGTTACGAAAAGGTTGTAAATATGATGTTGAGTAAATAAAGCTCTACGATATTTGGATGTGTGCATAATGTTGGATCAATTCTAGTCATAATATTACTATAAATACAATTATTTCATTATTTGCTGTAATAATTTTGATTTAATAATATCACATAATCAAACTATTTCAGACGTTATATACGGATGTTTATCTCAGGAAAGTTATCGTTTTCGAACGGCTCAAAGCAATATCCATTCGACTTCGAGGTAAGCCCACTGGGTGTATCTCTACCTTTAAATTCATTCATTTATGCACTGAGTTTATTTTGCGCTGCGAAAAATTGCTTGTATATGAATTGAATAAACTGGCTTATAGGATGCTCTTGAAGAATTTATTATAATTTGTGTATAAGTGAATTTTGTTTGTAAGGTGATGAGCGGAGGTGAATTATTTTATTTTTGAAGGATTTAACTGATTATGGACCAATTGGTGATGGTGCATATGGACGCGTGAACAAAATGCTTCATAGAGAAACGGGACGGTGGATGGCAGTTAAAGTAAGCATTGATGATTTAGTTGCATATCTCATTTTGTGTAATCAATCTAAAGTTGAGCATATGCGCAGCTATTATGGGCCTATATCTTCGAAGCATTCATTTCCTTTAATCAAACTTTCAGAAAGTTCGAATTATATCTGGAAAAACCGACGAAGGTGAACGAAATCGTTCTATAAAACGAATCAAACAAGAAATTGCTGCGTTCAGAAGTGCTTCAGACTGTGTTCAGATTGTTCGGTTTTATGGTCTTACATTCCATGAGGTAAAGTTTTATTTCTTTTAAATTAATGTTATCGTCATTACTTTAATACGGTTTTGAGTAGTGATAGTGATTTGGCATTGTGGATATCAGTATTCCAGGGAGATTGCTTGGTATGTTTAGAATTGATGGATATCTCGTTGGAAAGGCTGTATCATATTGTTCATAAAAGAACACCAGGTGTTTTTGACGAAAGAATTCTAGGTCATGTGGCTGTATCGGTGAGTATTTCTATATGAGTATCATCATTGTTGCTATTACTTGTGTTATAACTATTTTTATGTGCTATCTATCATTTGTAATTATTTAGCAGTCGTGAATTTTTCTATTGCTTCAGATATTGAAAGCTCTAAATCATCTCAAGAATGAAAACAAAATAATCCACCGAGGTGAGAGCATCTATCATATTTCTTCATACAGCGAAATATTCAAGTTTATTAATTATCGCTGTATCATGTAAAATTTTCTGACAATTTCAATACTACATCAATTATATTAGGTCAGTTGTTCAAGAAAAACTACCTAATTCATGTATATGCATACTAATGGTGATAATTAACCAAACATGCATGGGTTAGTAAATTCTGCCGAAATTTTTGCTTTCGAAAATCTTCGTTTTTTGGTGGTTATCGAAGTTTGGAGCGACCAACTCTGAATTGAGCTCATCAAAGCCGATTTTTGGAGACGTAAAACTCGATTTCAGCGAATTCCAGTAGGACGAATTTTTTGTTCGCTTACCATCACTAGTATGCAAGTGCGCCTCATATATCTATGATATCGTACTGAGACAGTTATGAATTGATAACAAACTTATCAATGATATTGGTATATTGCAGATGTGAAACCGTCAAATATTCTGTTGAATCTGAGTGGTATGATAAAGTTATGCGATTTCGGTATTTCTGGTTATTTGGTGAACTCAGTGGCAATAACCCGCGAAGCTGGTTGTCGTCCGTATATGGCGGTCAGTGTGTTGGTTTTATCTCTGATCTCTCTCTTCTTTTTGAACAAAAACATCGCTGTCTTCAGAGCATCCGTACATCATTGTTATTGTTATTACTATTTATTATTGTTATTGTTAATCAGTATCATTGTCATCACTGCTATTGCTGAAGTTGTTGTTGACATTATTGTAATCAGCAATATTTTAGCCTGAACGATTGCTGACAAACGCCACTTACGATATACGTTCAGATGTTTGGAGTTTGGGATTAACACTGGTGAAGATTCATGTTATTGATTTAGTATACAAGAGAGAGAATGACTGCATGCAATCGTTATTGTTATTATGATATTATTTTGAATAACATTAGTATTGTTTAGAGTCATTTTTCAAGCTGAACTGAACGCAGAAGTGATTCGTTTCATATTCTTCAATAATTTCAGCAAGAAGTGGCAATAGGGGAATTTCCATATCCAAGATTCAACGAAAATGAATTATTCTATCAACTTCAACAGGTCGTTTATGGTGATCCACCGATAATGGGTCCATCAGATGTTTATTCAATAAGAACCATTCAGTTCATCAATTCATGGTTACTTATACAGCAATATTATTTGTTTGAATAGTGTTGTAGGTGCTTCAGAAGTAATATCATACTATAATTAGCCGAGTCAGTAATAATAATAATAATAATAATAATAATAATAATAATAATAATAAATGGACCAATTAATTGACCAAACTGAAGCCGGTTCAACACGATTTAGTCGTCCAACTTACATTCTCAGAAGAATTTACGCCGTAACTTTTCTCGTTCACATTTCTGCTAAGATGGTTCCTTCAATTCTTTTTTCATTCGTTTGGCTCTTTTTTGGAACGCTGTTTTGTGTTCTTTATTAACATTATTCTAATATTCATTCTTTTGATCGATATCAACCTTGCATATGTTCAGCCTTGTCAAAGAGACAACCTTACGACCAGACTATAAGAAATTGATGAGCACTGAATATTTCAATTATTATGATCAGCTATTGGATGGAACACCCTCATATATTGCTTCATACGTACAAGCAGCATTGGATGATGAACAGAAAGAACAAGATTCCACTGTAGAGGATAATACTGCTGTGAACAAAATGCAATCCTAATTTTTGAGTTATCAACGAGGGGTTATCCTTATTTTTATTATTGTTTTTATTTGTGTTATTATTGTTATTGCTGTTGCCATTATTGTTGTTTTAAGTATTATTGCAAATGCTCTTACTGTTGTTATCATTCTGGCAGGTATTATTGTACTGTTGTGATTGTCGTGATGTGTTTTATATCTGACTCCAAATTTATCATTCAACTTAATCATATATTCTATATCATCCATCATTCATATACCTGGCCCGTTCGTCTATCCGGTTGTCCGTATCTTTTACTGAGAAAACTTTGTGTCTTGGAAGACAAAAAAGCAAGTTTGCCATATTCAGTATGTATTATTATTATTGTTATCTTCATCATTATCACTATTACTATTTTCATTATTATTATTATTGTTTTATTATTATTATTAATTTATTATTATTATTGCGTTGTATTATTATTGTTATTATTATTATTGTCATAATACAATAGTCGTTGGTTGTTGATGTTAGATCCATTTTTAGTCTCATTCTAGGTTTCATCAGAACATATCATCTCAATAAATGTTAAGATTTAACGTAGTGGTTTGCTTCAGCTAAATTTCATCTATTATGTTCAATTGTTCTGTCAAGATTAATTGCTCACAAGATTGTTATTGTTGCTGCAACGATGCGTAAGACGCTGTGAGAAGTGAATTTTGTAATTAGATTAATGTTTAATGCTTCATTATATTCTATTAGTGAATGAATAAATATTCCATTCGACGTGTGTCTGAATGAATAAATTTTCTGTCATATTCTGCAGTGTTATAGTGCACCGTATTGGTCTGTTGTTTTGATGCAGCATTTTCTTTTATAATAGGAGATAACGATAGTGATAATACTACTAATAAATTGTATGGGAAGGAAGTGATCCTGTTGGATAGGGATGTCGTGTGGTGTATTGGTGGCGTGATTTTGAATTTTGTTTATTTCCTTATGTAAATATTTCGATTGATACCGACATTTTTATTACTTAAATTGATAAGGAAAGAAGATGCAGTGTCATGATATTTTCGTGATTATAACTTAAACATTCGTCCATATGTGCGTCCGTTCAGGCATTCATACATCTATTGCGCATCGAATGATCACAATGAGATGATAAGTGCTAGTAAATGAAATGAAGATCGAGGCAAACTTGCTGGTATCACACCACCATTAAACAAACAGTAACGGTGATTGCAGTCGGAAGTGTCGAGGAGAATATTGAAGATGATCTGCGTTTCGGAACTCTGCATTGATTCGATTGGACGAGCTCTATTTCGTCTGCATCCTTCACAAAATGACCGTATTTTTTCAATTTGTTTTTGCTCATTTTGTTTTTTCGATTATCACTAATGTTGGGTCGGTGACCACCGAAAATCGGTCGGTAATCACCGACAGTTTTGCGGTAGTCCCCGACCGTCGGTGAATACCGAGTTGCGGTGATCACCGACGAGACTCTCGGTCGGTGACCACCGAGAAAAATCTTGCGGTTCCCAACTCTAGTTACCACTCAAGAAAAATTTCTCATTTTATTTGTTGAATCGTCAGAATTTTTCCAAGCGTTCCTATGGGTATGATTAGAGTGAGGAGTGTGTTCATTGCATTGGAGGTATTATTGATAAGTGTGGTTCATCGTAGCGGATACTCCGCTTCACTTTTGTGAGCATCAACAGTGATGATGACTGAAATGGGTTTTGTTAATAAGAGATGGACAATAGCGTGCTGTTTCACTAAGTTTTGCTAGCTATGCCGATTTTGGGTAATCGTTCAGTTAACGTGGCTGTTGTTGGAAGAAAGAACAAACCATTAGAATTTTCATTTTCATTTCACTTTCATGATGAAGCTCAGAACTGGCTTGATGAGGTTTTACTGAAGCTTATTAGTTTCTATTTTGATCAGTTTTTGTTAAGCTTGAGCGATCGAAGGTTGCACCAGTCCAGTCGTGATTATATTCAGCAGTGTTGATTACACCGTCAGATAATTTGGTCTTTTTTCGTTATGAAATTCACAATAACTAGAGGATTATTATTATTTATTATTATATATTTATTATTATTTATTATTATTAATACCATTATTATTTTTATTATTATTATGGTTGACGCGTAGTACGTTAATGTAATATTTGAACGCATATACATATAAATCGTATTCTGTAAAACGACAATAGCAGTAAAAATTTTATTTAAGTTGTTTCTGGTGTTTTCAGGTTATTCTAATCATTGATAGATTAACAGAAGGATCATCTTATTCTTACATTTTTTTCTTCACTTCTGACGGATATTATTTCATAGCGTTCATCCAGCAGCACACTTCTTAACTCAACTAATCCACTCAATCGCATCGACTGAACTAATCTTGGCTATACTAAACACATAGCAATAGGAATTGTATTTATTCGTAATAATGGACTTATCAAAAGCATCGTTATCGTTTTGCGGATGTGGTTTTTTGTGTATTTATCACGCTGGTGTTTGTGCAGCCCTGAAGGAATACGCACCCCAATTGCTGTACAACAAAATTGCGGGTGCATCAGCGGGTTCAATTGTTGCTGCAGGACTGATTTGTAACGTTTGTGTATCACAAGCAGCAAGTGCTATCCTAAAGGTGGTCACCCAGGTGAGCAGTCATTCATTTATCAGTTTGTTTTGCTCTTCGTTTTTCAACACTTATCATACACCTCTGCTGACTGTCGCATTCTTATTCAATTATATTCAACGTTTAATAGAGTATTTTGGAAAGTTTTTTTTGCATATTTATATGGCGTGAAGTAAGTTCTTCGGATAAATTAATTAGTAACGATAGCAGCAACGAGTGGGTGTCATTATTTTATGCACGCGAATACGTGTCTGTGCGAAGGCAAGAGTGTAGCCGACAGGAAGGCACACCTATTTTTTCACATCACCTTTTCGTGATCAGTGTAGGGTGTGGCTGCGTAACATGTTGAGCGATCAAACTGTGACGTGCACGTGTAAATAGATCGTTGCAAAATTGAATTGATCTCCACTCTCTTGATCAGGAAATTCTGGCTGAACATATGAGTGCATACGACGTTAGGAGATGGTTGTATTGATAATTGTAGGCACGTTCTCGCGCATTAGGTGCACTTCATCCAGCATTCAACTTGATCGAAGTAGTACGAACGAATCTAACCGCAGTTCTACCAGAGAATGCGCATCAGTTGTGTACGGGTCGTTTGCAAATCTCATTAACACGTGAACGTGATCGTAAGAATGTGATAATCTCGAAGTTTGATTCAAAACAAGAACTTATTCAAGTTGGTTTTGTTTGTTTGTTTTCGACACATATTTTCATTACTTCATTCATCCATTCGTTGATGAGTTGTCGTTCATTTCGATGCATTTTTTCATTATTCATCCACTTCACGTTTCCTTTTTCCCATATGACCAACGTCGTCTTGCGATCGGCATTCTTCTCGTATTTTCGTTTTCATTTGATGTTTTAAATCATTCAAAAAGTTAGCCTAAACACTTTATGCCTCATATAATTGAAATGAAAAGATTGTGCACAAGTGGACTCGAGCACTCGCGATCATTTGTTCGATTTAGTCTGTATCACACTGATCAAAACCTATCTGTTAGCTGAACTATAACCTATCTGTTTCAGTGTCTGAGTATAGCTGAACAACTAATCCATCCATCCATCCATCCATCCATTCACATCCAGCTTTAGTTAGACATGCTTAGTCGCTCGTTTCGTTACCATAAAACAAGTCTTTGATTCATTTTTATCACCATGTGAAGCGGTATTCTTTGTTGTATGTGCTCGAGTGGTTGTTTCAGGCAATTTTATGCAGCTGTTTTATTCCATATTATTGTGGACGCGTCCCACCGATTTTTCGCGGTGAGCATTATTTGGATGGTGGTTGGTCAGATAATCAGCCGATCATCGACGAGAATACCATTACCGTATCACCATTTTCGGGTGAATCTGATATTTGTCCACCTGACGTCGATAGTGCAAGGTCAGCAGGTGCTTCCAAGTGTTTACCCCGAAAATCAGCAGACGTGATTGTATCATTCTTCTTGTGGATCAGTTATTCTTAGTCACTAATCAGCATCGTCTTCATCGCATATATTCGTCTGTCCTTCACTTAATTCGTTTCACCAATTTCAATTTCTATCGTTTATTAATAATTATAGATGGGAAATTTGACTAATTCCTTCGGTTATTCTCATTGTACACTGATAATAATTCAATCGTGAGCTTCTTTTCCGTTCGTTCATTTGTTCCATATTTCTAATTGTTGCCTACTGTGGTTATGATTCACATAGATTAATTATCAACAAAGTGAATGTTGATCAGTATTGTTGTGTTAGTTCGTTGTGAAGAACGAACGGGTCGTGATTGTTTAATAATGAAGTTGCTAATTTTAATAGTGTTTTGCACGGTGAATTTGAAAATGTTTTCTCGAAAGTCAGTGGTGATCATTTATGCAGTTTATTTTGATTCATTCATCTTCATTAGATATGTGCAAGGTTAGTTTCCAATTTGCAGCTTGTTTGGCTTCCAATTCGGTGGAACATCGATACGTTTCACGGCAAGAAATATCTATCGCTTAACGGTTTGCTTGATTCCACCATCCACGGAAGTATGCTCAAGGATATGTCGACAAGGCTTTGAGGATACAATTCGTTTCTTAACCAGAAATGGTACTCAGCATTCATTGTGTTCTAACTTTGAATTTCTAATTGTAGAAGAAATTGTTAGCTCTGTTGTTTGTGACGTTGCTAGCGATACTCATTATCACTTCATAAATTGTCCACAATTTTCTAAATTCAATGATAAAATTTGATATGCTCGCGTCTGTATATAT